CACAATACCATTATATACATAAAACACAACATACATGTTAAAAACTAAGCATTTCTGTCAAACAAAAACTCGTCGAAAGTGTAGTAAGCCCCCGCTAACAGCCGTCGCTTAATTGTGGTTTTAAATTCCCTTACAGGGAGGCCCTTCACAATTAATGGCAAGCTATTATAAAATTTAGGTCCCCAGAAATTGATGGCATTTTTGCTCCTAGCAACCCTCAAAAAATCACCTCTCAAATTTTCGTAGTCGCTATATCTAGTAGAGTGTGTGTGAATTTCACGAACTTCCGTATAGTCGTGCAAGTTCTGTTTAACATGCATAAGCGCTGACAGTATATATACTGAAGGTACCGTAAGGATCATTAATTCTCTAAATGTATGTTTGACATCATCTCGATATCCCAATCTAGCCATGACTCGCAACTCCCTCCTCTATACCCCGAAGACGCTCCTCAGATGTGCAGAATGTCCCCAAATTACAATATTATATGAGAAGGCAGCATGAAATAAATAGTAGTAAACATTCTTTATCAAGTCAAAAGATACTTCATCCCGCAAATTTCTAATAAGGTATATTACTCTAGCTAATGTTCTCGAGACATTAGTACAGTGTACTTCCCACGTCAAACTCTTGTCGAGCCACACACCCAAGAACTTCACCGCCATCTCCGACGCAACGCCATCACTGGGAGACCTCGTACTAAAAATCATTTGTTTCGTTTTATTTTTATTTAACATTAACTGATTTGCAGCAAACCAATCTGAAGCATCTGCGAGTGCCATATCCATGCTAGCCCGCATCATATCCCACTCTTTATTAATAGATATCAGTGTTGTATCATCCGCAAATAACACCCCCCGTGCTGTACACACATTTTTCGGCAGGTCATTTATGTAGATGAGAAAAAGTAGGGGACCGATAACCGACCCCTGAGGGACACCATAACTGACCTCTTTTTCAGAGGATACGGTGTTATTCAAGCAAGTGACCTGTTTACGCTTGTACAAATATGATTGCATTAAACCCAGAGATCGGCCCACGACCCCATACCTTTCAAGTTTCGCAAGAAGTATATGATGATGCACGCAGTCAAAAGCCTTTGACAAGTCACAAAAAGTGCATCCCGCAAAGGACCCACTTTCAAAAGCCTCAGTAATATACGTAACCAAGCTACTCACTGCCAAAGATGTCGATTTCCCTGGTCGAAACCCGAACTGACACAGGGACATTAACTTATTATTTTCAAGATACCGCAATAATTGAGCACAAAGAACCTTTTCAAAAATTTTGGCTAGCGAGGGTATTAAGGAAATTGGACGATAATTATCCATGTTACCAGCGTCACCGTTTTTATAGATGGGAATTACTTTTGCGATTTTCAAGCAAGATGGAAAGTGACCACTTGTAATTATAAGATTACATAATTTTGTCAATGGGGATATCAATGGTTCCTTTATACGTTTTAACAATTTAGTACTAATTTCATAAATGTCCTTGCTACTTTTATTCTTTAAACCAGTAATTGCATCTCTCATTGTGGCGCACGATATTTCTTCAAAAGCGAATACCAAATCTACCGGGTTCAACAGACTAAGAGGCTCCACTGTGGGAGTTATTTTTTTTGCTATATTAGGAGCAATCGATGTAAAGAAATCATTGAAATCCTCGGCCTTTAGTGTTTCATTTATAGCTGATTTTTTAGCTTTATTTCTCCTTTGGTTTATTATTTCCCATGCTGCAGCAGTTTTATTTTCACTATTTCTTATATATGATTCATTTGCCGCTTTTTTGCTATCACTTATAGCTTGCTTGTATTGCTTCCTGAATTGTTTAACCTCTGTTCCCCACGTTACATCTCCAGGATTCAGCTTTTTTAATTCAATTAATAATTCAAGGTGATTTCGCATCTGTCTCAGTTTGTCGCTAAACCAGTGAATTTTGCTTCCTTCTTGTTTACTTATTCTTTTTAAAGGGAAATATTCTAAGATTAAATTTGCAATTACATCAACAAACATTTGACATTTATGTTCAACAGGGAATTCAGGGCACTTCAAAAAATCCCATTTTTGAATTGCCACACTATAATACAAACCATTTAAACCCCTCTCCGTTATCGGCCTCCATAATACTTGACTGATACTTTTTTTAATATTATCTATTAATAGCAATATATAAATTCCCTTATGATCTGCTATGTGTTTATCCACAATACCCGCTCTATATCTCAAGGAATCAAAATTCACCAGTACATTATCCAGACAATTTTCACCACGTGTATTTTCATTTATGAGATATGTAAAACCAAAGGATTCCATGAAACTCACAAACACTCGCGTGTCCTGTTCGTTTTTATTAAAACGAACATTAAAGTCACCCATGATTAATATTTTTTTATTTACAAGACTCAACTGAGCAAACAGATTATTCAAGATGTGCAAGAATTCCCTAAGAATACCATCAGGGGACCTATAGACAGATATTATTCCATTACCTTACTTTATTACCCTATAATAAGGAGCGAATTGCCTATTTTTTTAGCACGTGTTCTTAGATCTGACAGTGCCTTCTGATCGCGGACGGCCTAACTTTCTGTAACGTGTAAAATTGTGGGCAATGTCCAATATTGCTAAAAACTTTGAACTTGAACTGTCCCGTGGCACTGCAGCATTTCCGAGGAAAGATTTTTATAATTTCTGAGTGAATTGATATTTCTAAGCATTACAGTTGCAACATTTTTACAGTATAGAATGCATAGAAAAGAGCTATAAAATCACAATTCGGTCCGCAACCTGTGATTAAGTAGTGTAAGTGTTTTTGGTGCCGCTACAAAATAATGAGTCAACACTTCGATTCAGATGCGATTAAGTTATAATCTTATGATTTTTTTACCTACCTCTAATATGAACAAGAAGCTATACCAATTGGTCATCGTATACAGGGAACAACGTATATTAAAACATATATAAAGTTTATTTAGCAATCATCCAGTGCATGCATAGACATAATTAGCAGTTAACAAATTACCTAGGCCAATTTTAAATCATAATTAAAATTATGAACTTTTGCAAATTTTTGTACCGTGTTTCTGTTAATTTTGTATCTATCTAGGATCAAACGTTGATCAGCGTATCTTGTGCATCATTGTCCCAGGGATTTTTTATTGTCGTATGTATCCAAAAATCTATACCTGTTGATTTTAATTTCTTGGCAATTAGTTCATTATCCTCGCACAGCATATTATTCGAAATCTTTTTGCAAAAGTTCTTAGGTACTGAAAATTATTTTGTTAGCAGGATTAAAAACATATTTTCGATATCACCTTCCAATACACTTATCAGTTTGGGGCGGATATGGTGCGAAGGCGATCAGCAGTTTGTAGACAATTTCATACTTTAGCGACCTTAGGCAATATTAGTAATTAGACTCTAATAGAAATAATAGTACATTTTCATATTTAACATTTTTTTAAATCTGTCTTTTATATAAGGATTCAAATCAGAACCACATTAATAATAAAATATTCAAATCTATCACCGTTAATCGTATCTTCCGCATTCTTTGGAGATCACGTCAGACATATAAAGGGAAAATATGGAGAAAGTATGCAGAATGTAATACAATCCGCAGTTTATTTCGGATTGTTTCGCGTGTCTGTCATATTGGCTAATTTTGCGAATTTTGAATATAGCGGAAAGTCAAGAAATGCCATTTCTTCAACACGATCTAAGGACGTTATGAATTGTCCAAACTTTAGAGTTATTATACGTATTTGTAGGAATTTTGTCTACTTTAATTTGGTATATCATAGTTATAATCAAAAAACGCTTAGTTTTCGAGTTATAGTTAAAAAACTGACAAAAGTGTTGAGAATTTGAGGTATTTTGCAATTTTCCTTGTGAATGCGACTCCTAGCAAGATGGCAAACCTCAGATTCGGATTCAGCACCCTAAAAAAGATATAGAACCGGTGAGAAAAAGCTTCTACATTTTTTTCCTGGAAAAAACATTTGTTTACTGGATTAAAATTATTATTGGCTGTAATGAGCAAGAAAAAACATACAAGTTTCTAAAATAATAATCAATACAACCGTTTATTTGCGATAATACTAGGAATATGTTTAAATATGGCAACGTCGCTTCAGGCCGACATCGAGTTGACTTGGGAGCCGTGAATGTTCAATGCCGCCAGCGGTCAGGGACGGTCCGAAAAGGGGTTTAAATAATGATTTTAAAATATTTTTTTCAGCGTAAATATGCATTTTAAAATATTTTTAATCGCATATTCGCATTCTACTCATTTTTCCCTATCTTCCTTTAAAATTAATGACATAATGATTGAATACTTTCTATGTCGAAGTTTGCAATAGAGCTAGCGAATCAAACGATTACTATTATTATTCAAATTTATGTAATATTCATGGTAAACAATCCAATACATATTCCATATATATTTTCCATTTTTAGATACATTTTCATTTATTTTGTCCTAAATTATCTAATTGTTAGGTTCGTATGATACTATCCTAAAGTTAGAACTAATTTCGGTAATTAATTCAGAACTTTTTAATCTTGCATAGTATCATACACAAATTGCAACAAAAAATTGTTGCAGTTTCTGTATGATACTATGCAAGATTAAAAAGTTCTTAGTTAATTACAGAAATTAGTTCCAACTTTAGCATAGTGTGACCCTTAGTGTCATTTTAATTAACACAAGAAATCCTTAAATATGTCTCTACACTTTCGATTTTTTTTTTTTTTGAAGATGCAGAAAATATGCCGGCAAAAAGTAAAATATAACCCACTGTCTGCGTATATACTTAATGTGATTTTCTTACAGTGATCTGATAGATATAAGTTCTTTAGATAAATAAATTTAAATTGTTTTAGTTAAAAATATATCTCTGCTGTTAACATGAACTCAACTGACCTTTTGTGATTAACTTATAAATATATTTACAGAATTAACTTAGTATGCAGTCATCTTTAAAGTATGTTTTTGACTAGATATATTTTTTTCACTGTACTTTGCGTTTTTCCTATTACTACGAAAGTGTCTTGGAGTAGTTATTTTTGTGAAATTCCTGACTGGTATTGTGACAACAACACTATCAAACGACAAATTGTAGAACAGTGTATAGACGACTGGTTTGTATATCTACATACATAAACTAAAATATTGCAACGGAAAAGAGTGTCGCTTACTTTTACTTCCTCAAAATCTATATATTTTAAAAAAATTTTAACTTAACGGAATACAAGCCTGTATGGAAATATTTATTTATGATTATTATTATCGTCTAAACAAACTTTTGCAGTTAAATAATGGTCTAGACTTATTTTTTACGAAAAGTTAAAATAAGTCAAAAATTAATTAAACGTATTGCATAGTTTATCTAGTTTTAATAATTTATTTTTCTTTTTACTTCAATTTCTCATAAAGTGAGATACAGAGTGATAGCGTTAAAAAATATACCTATTTTTACATTTTACAAATATCAGATATTTAAATTAAATTAGGTACACAACATTCCTGGATATGTTGCCTTAATGTTGTATCACAACAAATCTTCTAAACAACCACATCAGAAGTAAGGGATATTCATATTTTCCATGAAAATTTGTTTTTTCTTTCATTGTACATCAAGTACAAGGCAACCATAATGAAACATGTAACAACAGCCTGTTTGAATAATTTTCTTACTTGAAAATTTCAATTAGTTGAGAAAATATAGAAAAACAGACTCAGGCTTCTTTACTTTATTTTGAAGTGCATTTTTGGGAAAAAGTTGATATAAAAATGTTTTATTTATTTTGATAATCCCATGTTCAATATTAAATTTAAATGACTGTGTGGGCATCATAAAAAAATATTTTTGTGTATATCCTTCAACAATTCATTTTACATTCTGTCCATTATTTCGGACCTTAAACTTTACAAAAGGAATAAATAAAATAAGGTAGAGAAGTAGAAAAAAATATACTACTCGAAAAAAATCTGAAAAATAATATAAAGCAATAAAAATACGAAAAAATTAAAATATATAAAAAGAACAATACAAAATATCTTAGTCAGAGACATGGCATAAAACGTTGAAGTGGACCGATATGGGAATAAAATAGAACAATAAAATACAGAGTGTTCCATTTGAAAAATTTTAGAAAATCAAGTTTAAACTTTCTAAAAATTATCGTATTATAAAAAATGCCCTGTAGAAAATATCGATATTAGCTAATAGTCTTTGCGTAACATTTGCCTATAACTCTGTCAAATATTTTTGCTCCAAGTGTTAGTAGTTGAATGTTAATATAAAAAAAAAATTCTATATAACTTGGCAACCCTGCACTAAAATGATAAACTGTTTATATTGCCATATATAGAATTTTCTCGGAAATCCATATGTTCAAAAATATACAGGGTGTTCCATTTAAATGTAATATTTGGCGTGTCCCGTTTTTACTCATTGTATGTATGTATCAAATGAAATTTATTGTTTAGGTTTCTTGATTCTATATTACTTTTATATAAACCTTTTTTCTGTATTATGAATAACAAGGGAGTTATTTTACTTACTCACACTAATGACCCATCCTGTATATTAAAATATATCAAGTGTCTTTTGCCATTACTTCATAAACATGTACGAAAATCTGTCACTTAAAATATTTCTCAAGATTGGCAGTATTACAAATACGTATACTCAACTTTCTTTGAAAATTTATTTGAAATTATTATTCCAATTTATTATTAAATTCATTTATTTTCAGTATCATTTACCGATACTGCGCTAGCAGTAAATGGTGCGTATATAATGCATATCTGAATGAAACTGTTAACATAAAAAAGATTGATCTGGTGATCTTCGAATTTGCAAAGTTTCTGCCCAGATGTATGATAAAGAATCTTCCAAAATTAAAGACTATATATGGTAAAAATAAGGACATAGCCTTTGTGGATCCATGGGCTTTCTGGAACCTACCTAAACTGGAGGAAATAAATTTATCATACAATTACATTAAAGGCATTGACTATGGGTCCTTCAGCAAACTGTCTAGTGTTCAAACTTTAGACCTCAGTTGGAACGAAATTGAATACATAGGACAAGGTTCTTTCCAAGGTATGACAAGCTTGAAAAGATTGGATTTGAGTAGAAATTATCTTAATCGTTTTGATGCAACATATTACTTTTCTTTAACTAATAGCGATACCTCTTTGGCACTAGAGGAACTGAATTTATCACACAACAAACTGAAATTGGTTGTTAACCTAAACAGTTTTTTACGTTTACATGTAATTGATTTGAGCCACAACGAACTGTCGTATATAAATTGGACGTCCAACATTCGCACTTCACAGTGGCTAACAAATCTAGATTTAAGTGACAATTACTTTTCTGTATTTGATCTGGATCTGTCCAATGTGTATATAGATAAGTTAAGAATTCCCTTTAACGATTTGTATCACCCTGATGCTATAAATGTTGTTGCCCGTATCAACGTCGTTGTATTAGATGGCAATCTGTGGCAGTGCGAGGCTTACACTCAGCTTCTAGAGAAGTTTTTAAAAATGCAAACTACCATATTGGACTATGAAGAAGACGACGATATATATTTTCTAACCAAATTTGAAAGGGAGAACTACCCAACATGTTTCTTTTCAACAGATTCATTTTCACCGCACAGAAGTATTTTACTTTTAGAAAGTACGTACAAAACCAGAAAAAATCCTCGATGCAGGACTAAAAATCAGTGCCCGAAGGATATGTTTTGCAAAAGTGGTAGGTGTTGGAAAGGATGCGAACAAAATATTTGCGATGAGACTGCCGTTTGTGTTAGCGACTCCCACGGTTTCTATTGCCATTGCCCTAGGGGAAAGATACCCAATCCATTCGTCACGGAAACTAGGTGTTACAATGTCCAATGTTTCGCGGACGATGATTGCCGCAAATTTGGAAACATTTGTAATGAGAAAACGCATAAATGTGAAGAAAATGTAAAATAAATTAAAAACTACTCTATTTTTCTACAAGAAAATAAATTATGTATTTAAAAAAGCATTACCTGTTGATTTGTCATTTAGAGTTTGCAAAAGGTGAGATACTTGTAAAAATTAAGGCAGTACTAAGCTTCGAGTGATCATAACTACCGGTATATTTAAAAAAAATTTTTTGTGAGCGATATTAATTTTTAAAAAATCACTCAATTTCACTCAATACCCACACACCCGATTGAGTGAAATATTCACTTTATTATGAGCGAAACTATTGCAACAGAAGTAAATTTTACTCAAATCCGAGTTTCTGTTAACTATTTTAAAGTATTTTAAACCAATTAAGAGTTGATTTTTTTTCTAAATTTAACTATTATTGAGCAATTTTAAATTTATATTAAATATCATTGTATTAAACTCATAAACTACTAAACTGCCACAATAGTTTCTAAAAAGATCTGTTTTAGAGACAATATTTTAGGTCTCGATTAAAAGAATCGGTTAACTGATCAGACGAATAGATTGCCATAACCTATATTGTACATTACAGATATGTAACTAAGTGCAGGTAACAATCTAACTATCCATTTATTTAACCAAATATTAATGGAAGCTCAATATAATTATTGTAATCAAACCACTGCATTTAAACACAATTGTCATCAAATAACCGGATAAACGGATATTTGTCCAGCACTACACGCCATACACCTAATAAGATGACCTGATGGGGACGATGGGAATAAACAAAGACAATGTACGGCAACCATAGAATGGGGTGGGGTCACCCAATGATGAGGACATTTACTCCGATTTTGGTACAAGTGTACCAAATACGAGTTTATCTGGAGAATTTATTTGAGTGAAAATACTCAGTTTCTAGTTCAAATATATTATCACAAATGAGTAAAATTATCAAAATGCACAATATTCAGAGAAAGTCAAGTGAAAAAATCATTTCACTCAATGGAGTAACTCCGTATCTTTATTGCTTTCAGTAACACCGATTTTTTTACAGTGAAATAAGATCAAAATTCCTTTTAATAACATTTTTCAAGAGTGACTATAAAAAAATATGAAAAATGGAAACAGTTCGCAAAATAATCATGAAAATCCTTTAGACTGTATACAATCCCCTTGCGGCAAATACTTCAAATCATAATATTACAAAAATATTTATGTTTATGCTTAAAAGTAAGTGCAATTTGTAAGCACATCAACAAAATTCTTTCCACATCACCTGTGAGGTAGTGTTCCTGGTGTGTTTTAGTTTCTCCTCTTTACAAATAAGAACAATTTAAATCAAAATAATAAAATTACATTTACCAAGCAACAACAACTAAACAAGAAACAAAATTAACGTTACGTATTTGCAACAATTGTTTAAAATGCAAATCACCCACATCGATACATTTCTGACATCTTCTGTTAATGGAACTAATTGAAGCTAATATCATGAGGTGGTTTTCTTTTAATTCATTACACCCGTCTTCTATTCGCTGCAGTAGTTGTAGTCTAGTATCTATTGGAGTAGAGTAAACTTTTCAGATAGGTCCCAAACATAGAAGTCCAGGGGGTTTAGATCTGGCGATCAGGCTGGCCAAGACGCTGGACCTTTTGCACCATTATGGTTGACATTGTCTTCTACCTATCCATCAGCCCATATGATTTTCATTAAACCATTCTTGTATTATTCTCTTAAAATGCGCAGGAGTACCATCTGTTTGTATCCAGCTTTTTTGTGTATATTTAATTGAACATCCTCTAATAATTATTCAAATAGATAGTTTTCTAGAAACTTTAGAAATAACTGGGAATTTAGATGGGGTGGCAAGAAGAAAGGTCCACAAACTTTATTGCGAATTATTCCGAGCCATACTTTCACAGAAAATTCATGTTGAAAAGATCTTGTCCAAATTTCATGAGGATTTTCTTGTGACCAAATATCCAGATTGTGAAAATTCACTACCCCTCGCCTTGTGAACGTAGCCTCATCGGTCCAAAGTATTTCTAGTAAGAATTCAAACAACCATTGATAAAAATTCAGGCATCTCTCTGTATCTTCCGGAAGTAAATTTTTCACAGGTTGTAAATGGTACGGATTTCTGCCGTCCTTACCTTATAGAACTTTTCAAATTTTCGATTTACTCATCCCAAATTGCCGAGACGTTCTTCGTGTACTTAGCCGAGGATCGTCGTCAAATGTTTTTAAAATTTCATTTATGTGCCTTTCATTGCTTAGTCGTGATTTCCAAATATTGTTTAAATCCAAAATGATGAAAGCGATGAGTGTAAAGAATTTTGTTGATGTGCTTACAAATTGCACTTACTTTTAAGTATAAATATAAATATTCTTGCAATATTATGCTTAGAAGTGTCTGCCACAAGGGGATTGTATTGGTATGAATAACTTGAAAGTGGTGATTCTCAGGGAAAAAATTCAAGTTACCTTTTTTACGTATTTAGTGCATTAGAATACATATCCGTTACAATATCTTGTAAAAAATACAGTGGCGTAGTTTTTTTATAAAAAGGGAGTGACTCCTCTCCAGCTGTACACCACTGGTTGAACCTTGTGAGCTCATATTTTAGGGAATACAAGGCCTACTATCATATATTATATGTACTAAATTTTATTGAAATCGATTAATGGATTCTGAAGATATGAATAAAAAATCATTTTTTTTAACAACTTCAACACCCTGTATCTCTAAAACGGGGCCTTTCCAGACCAGAAACAAATTTTGGAAACATAAACATGTCTGACGTCATAAAGTAAAAAAGGTCTTATAACTCGGAAATGGTACGTTGAATTGAAAAAATATCTGAATCGAAGCGGGGTAATCATTAAATTGTTTTTTAGAACATAAAGTGATAAAGTTAATTAATTGTTTAATTGATTTAATTGCAAGACATAATTAATATAGATTAATCCAAATATATTAATTACAACGTGCAATTAATCGTTCAATTGCAATTAATTTTAACTGCAATTAAATTAATCACAATTACTTAATCCGTTTAAATGTACTCGTATTGCGAGTAATTTGAATGGCGTCATGAAGATGGCACCACTTACATATTGCTTCTGTAATGTCGACCACAGTTGATAGGGGCCCGTTAGTTGCTCCAGAAAAGCGTGATCGCTAAGAGAACTGTCCTTAGCCGGCGGGTCTCAGCCAGGATAGGAGGAGGCCCCCGAAGGAAATTAATTTCAATACCGTATATCCTATTTAATAATGTATGAGTGATTTATTTTTGCACTCAATATTTAGTTGATTAAAAACCAAATCTGAGTAAAAAATTACTCAATAATAGTTAAATTAAAATGATATTACAGAAAATGTCGACTCTAAATTGGTTTTATATACTCAGAATAGAGTCAAAAGTCGCTCAATTGATAGTTAGCAGTAACTCGGAGTAAAACTCACTCATTTCTGATGCAATAGTTTCACTCAGACGTACTCATCCTAATAGAGTGAATATTTCACTCAATCGGGTGTGGACAGAAACTGATACGTTATTGAGTAAAATTGAATGAAATTTGAGTGAAATTTTTTTACAGTGTAAACCAGTGAGAACAAGAACGTTAAAATAACATTCATTGATATAACTAGAATTTTGACATTATTTTACGGTTTTTCAGCACTGTCATTGAAGCTTCTAAATAGTAACTGCATAAGTTGTAGTACTTGACTTTACGTTAACTACAATAATTTTGGTCGATCATTTTTTCTCTGTTTTTATAACTTTTTATTGTATTTACACTTAACGTTCCTTATAAGTTATATTATTATTCGTGTAATTTAAAATTTTAATATTCAATTTTTAACGTTATATCAACCCAAACAGCGTTATTTTAACGTCCAAAAAAGCCCAACGGCGTTGAATTGCATGATCTGAGCGATCATTTCTGATCACCAAAACGGGAAATAATCCATGCACTAATTAAATTGTTTCTAGAGCTGTTGAAACGACATATTTTGCAATTTAGGCACAAAAAAACTGGAATATCATGTCGCCCTTAACCATTAACTGTTATTGCCTTACCAGCCGTATTTTCGAAGAAGATTCGATTATGCACAAAATTCGCACCAAAGAGTGACACGTTGTGGATGCATTTGATGCTCAACAATCACTCGTGGATTTGGGGTTGGCTACAATTTTGTCGATTAACGAACCATCAAGATGAAAATGAGCGTCATCGTTGAAAATTATTTTGTTCGAAAAATCAGCATCTACTTGTTCCATAATCCATTCAAAGAACACTCTTCGCTCTGCGTGATCAGTAGGCTTCAGTTCTTGAGTCAATTGAACTGTAAACTGTAAACATGAAGATGCAAATCTTTCATGAGAATATGCTATAGAAAGCTTCTCGAAAGGTCCACTTCTTGACCACTGTGCGGAACTGATATTGCTAGGCTCTCAGCAACACTCTCAAGAATTACTTCGATGTTTTGTGTTGAACGACTTATTGAAGGACAGTCAGAGTGTTTAAGATCACTGATAGATCCAGTCTCTCTGAATTTTTCAATTATTAATCTCTTCACAGTTGATGGAGTTCCGACTACATTTTGTACAAAAATTCTATAAATAAAAATAAATTCAAATAATTAAAAATAGATCTTCGGGTATCACATTGGAAGGGTCATGTCTCAGTAGGCGTTGACTCTTGTACATATAAGCAAGTTAGTCTAAATAGATTTTATACCAACCAATTGCAGGTCATACGTTGTCTGCGTATTGTAAAGACACCCTGAATGACTTAGGAACCTACCAATGAAAAATCTTTCAGCAGAATGTATGTTTTCCAGTCGAAAACAAAGAAAAGCTCCTTGGATTCATCTTATTTCTCCCAAAATAAACTAACAAACTTTTGTAATAACTAAACACTTCCTGCTTCTATGAAATGTATGGAGTGATCCAGTAAGAGTGACTAGAACAATTTTCTGAATAAAAGTGTAAAATTTACATAAAAAATTTAATGTGATTACTCTTACGAGATTATTTGTGGG